CTGGGAAAGGGAAATTTGGCGTTGCAATAATGCAATGTGCAAGTCATATTTGTATTCATTTTTTATTACATTATCATTTTCTTCTATTTATTCTTTTCTATCCTGTCTTTTCATTTTCATTGTTTTTGGCTATCTGTGGTTTAAAAAGTTTTGTTTCATATGACGTTTATCTTTACATTATTGAAATCATTCTAGACATACGTGCATGTCTGTCCAACCAAGATCAAATGCCCGCCCGCACCCACACACAATAAATAAGCATTAAAATGCTGACAATGGAAGGCATAACTAAATATATAACTAATATACATTTATGAGAGTTAAGTTAAAGGATAAAAAACATACACATATATATGCATTTACATATATATACATATACGTATACATACATGCACACACACACACACACACACACACACACACACACACACACACACACACACACACACACACACACACACACACACACACACACACACACACACACACACACACACACACACACATCATACATATCCCCTCAGCCATTAATTCATCAGGAAGTTCATGGAGTGCTTCCAGCACGTTGAAATGACAGAGCCGTTTTCTCGACTCTCTTTGTGCTCTTCCCTTGTAGTGCATGTCTTCACCATGACTGCCTTTATCCTTTCTTTTTCTTATCATCTTAATCCTTATCTTGCTATTTCTCTGTCTTTATTGGTTTTTTTTCAAGTCATAAAGCCAAGTAGAGAAAAAAAAAGTTGGGATCATAAAAAAAAACAATAAATATGGTCGTAAGTTGATCTTTTTACCCCCACCCTGTCCTTTTCGAAACGCACACATACATACACACACACACACACACACACACACACACACACACACACACACACACACACTTTCTTTACCATAGCCACTTCCTAGTTTAATCACAAAACTCAGTCTCCTCCTCCTTGCCTTCTTCTTCACTCCCTTCCTTCTCCCTCCTTCCACAAAACGTACACCGCATCTCCCCGCCCAAGGGTTGCATAAAACAGCAAATCCGTTCCACCGAAACTTATCAAGCCTCGCATTCAGACCGGGAAATGGTGCATTTTCGGCCTATCACAGCTCCCTCCGCCGCCATTATCGTTTTCATAAACACATAAATCAGCCAATAGATGCAAGTCACGCAACTTCTCTCTCTCTCTCTCTCTCTCTCTTGCCCTCTTTCACCGTCGCCTTTCCCTCTATTCTTCCTCATACCTCTTTACCTCTTATGTTCGTTTTCTTCCAACCCCATTTTCTTTGCAAGATGTAATACGTCATGTGTTTTTTTCCTCTCTCTCTCTCTCTCTCTCTCTCTCTCTCTCTCTCTCTCTCTCTCTCTCTCTCTCTCTCTCTCTCTCTCTCTCTCTCTCTCTCTCTCCATTCTTCTGTTTCACTTTCCTTAAAAGCACAGTATTGGAGTTTGCTTTACCCCTTCTCCCGTACCCCTCCCTCCCCCCCCTTTCCTACACCCTCGAGCCCTTCCCCCTGCCCTGACATCGCCCTGACCTCCGGGGTCGCGAGGTCGCATGAGGTCACCCTTCATTCATGCGCGGACCAATTGGCTGTTACGAAGACCCCAGCAAATATTGGCTGCCACTCTCCAGAATCAACCAATTTCACGGAATGGAATTTCTCTCTCTTTCTCCCTTGTTTTTTTTTACCCCCTTTCTCTCTCTCTCTCTCTCTCTCTCTCTCTCTCTCTCTCTCTCTCTCTCTCTCTCTCTCTCTCTCTCTCTCTCTCTCTCTCTCTCTCTCTCTCTCTCTCTTCCTCTGTCTATCCTCACGTTTCTTTCCCTCCCTCCCAGTCCTGCGATCCTTCCGCCGCAACCGCCTGACCAATACAAACAAATATGCGAACAATAAGAAGCACTTTTGTGACCAACGTCCACTCGATCCACCTCTTCCACCTCCTCCACTTCCTCCACTTCTCCTTCGTGCGGTCTTGGAAGACGGAATAAGGCAAGCGGTACGTGTGTTCGCCGAGATCTATTGTCATAATACTGATAATTATAACGACTGATATATGAAAAAAGCGAATACGTGATGTGTTGTGCGTGATGGAAAGAGAGAGAGCGAGAGAGAGCGCGCGCGAGAGAGAGAGAGAGAGAGAGAGAGAGAGAGAGAGAGAGAGAGAGAGAGAGAGAGAGAGAGAGAGAGAGAGAGAGAGAGAGAGAGAGAGAGAGGAAGAGAGAGGAAGAGAGAGGAAGAGAGAGGAAGAGAGAGAGAGAGAGAGAGAGAGAGAGAGAGAGAGAGAGAGAGAGAGAGAGAGAGAGAGAGAGAGAGAGAGAGAGAGAGAGAGAGATAAGTCCGATATGCGAAGCTGAGCTTCACCCGGGCTATGAGGGGAGCCCGGCCTGTGCCGACTAATGTCGACTCGCTAACAGTGTGTCAGCAGGTGCTGACTCGGGTGAGCTTAGTCCTTACCCACCGTGGTGCCCAGCCACAGCAGTAACCTCCAGGCGACAATTGCAACTTCTCGCGCCTGGGTGGGGCGCGAACCGCCGACCCCTCGGATGAGAGGCCGACACGTTACCACTGTACTAGCCCGGAGGCTTAGAGAGAGAGAGAGAGAGAGAGAGAGAGAGAGAGAGAGAGAGAGAGAGAGAGAGAGAGAGAGAGAGAGAGAGAGAGAGAGAGAGAGAAGAGAGAGAGAAGAGAGAGGAGAGAGAGGAAGAGAGAGAAGAGAGAGAGAGAGAGAGAGAGAGGAGAGAGAGAGAGAGAGGAGAGAGAGAGAGAGAGAGAGAGAGAGCGAGAGAGAAACACACACAAACAGCGCGCAAACCGTAATTAGGCATCCAAGCAACAAGAACAAACTCATAAAACCGGCACAAGAGCCCTAACAGCGTGAGAACAGCGTCATGACCTCATCCGCAGTCATCACCACCAGTATCGTCATCGCCAGCAGCGTCATCGTCATCACCTCCAGCGTCGCCGTCATCCCCACCAGCGTCGCCGTCACCACCACCAGCGTCATCGTCATCAACTCCAGTGTCGCCGTCATCACCACTCCGTGTCCCCGTCGCCACCACCAGCGTCGATCCCAATCCCTCCACAGCGTCGCCGTCATCCCCACCAGCGTCCGTCCCACCACACCCCACGTCGCCGTCACCACCACTAGCGTCACCGTCTTCACCAGCGTCGCCGTCACCACCACCAGTGTCACCGTCATCACCAGCCGCCATAATCACCAGCGTCGCCGTCATCACCTCCAGCGTCACCTTCATCACCACCAGCATCGCCGTCACCACCACCAGTGTCACCGTTATCACCAGCAGCGTCACCGTCATTACCAGCGCCGCCGTCATCACCAGCAGCGTCATCGTCATCACCAGCAGCGTCATCGTCATCACCAGCAGCGTCATCGTCATCACCAGCAGCGTCATCGTCATCACCACCAACGTCATCTTCATCACCGCCAGTGCCCCCATCATCACCACCAGGGTCGCCGTCATCACCACCAGCGTCGCCTCCACCACCGCCAGTGCCCCCATCAGTGTCAGCCTCACCACAAATCAGCGACGAAATGGAGACACTGTTTTACGAGGCTTCGGCAAGAACGCGTCGGCCTCGAGCCGAGACGTGGCACTCGACTGCGTTCGGCCTCGCTCCTGCAATCCGGCCCTCCGCTCCTCTTTCTCTGACTGTCTGGCTGGCTGGCTGTCTGTCTCGATTTTCCTCTCTCTCTGTCTCTCGTCAAGCACCCATTCTGTATTTCTCATCATATATTATCTTTCTCTTTTCTCTCTTTTCTTTCTTTCTCTCTCTCTATCACTCACAAACTCACTCACTCACTCACTCACTCACTCACGCGCACACGCCCACGCACACGCACACACACACACACTCTCTCGCCCTCCCCCCCTCTCTCTCCCTCTCCCCCTCTCTCTCCCTCTCTCCCTCTCTCTCCCTCCTCCCCTCTCTCTCCCTCCCCCTCCTCTCTCTCCCTCTCCCCCTCTCTCTCCCTCCCCTCCTCTCTCTCCCTCTCCCTCTCCCCCTCTCTCTCCCTCTCCCCCTACCTCCCTCCCCTCTCTCTCCCTCTCCCCCTACCTCCCTCCCCTTCCCCCCTCTCTCGGCTGACTTCCCTTTCTCCAGCAGCAAGCGTCCCATAGACTGCAAATCTGAGTGTCAGTGACTCGCTGATTCCAGCCAACAAGACACCCAGACATATAATGACTGACCCTTCCCGCCAAACACCCTCCACACCCATACCTCTAGCGAGAGCGCCGCCACGCCGGCTGACCTCTACACCTATAACCACAGCAGTACCCGTACCACACCGTGCATGGCTTCTTGAGCTAATTACATCAAACTTGCCTTCATAGGCAGTGCTTCTGTGAAAACGAAGCTCCGATGGCTGACAAAAGTCAAGAAAACCTTTCAGCCTGATCGAGGTCTAGCTCAGGTGAATATGGCTACAGTGGCATCCCGCTTCGTCTACATATCCCGCCGACGTTGGGACGTCATGAAAAGGGAGTTTCTGTCGCTGAGCCTTGCTGTGCAGGACTCGCCTGAAAGGCCCAGGAAATTTCCCATCTACCTCCTCACTCGCTACCCTGTTAGTATAGATCCTTCGCTGGCCAAGGAGCTCCCTGGCATCTATTCTGCATGCCGTTTCCGACACGACGGCAAGACCATCAATCACATTGTAGTCACCTGGTGCCTGCCAGGTCCACCCCCGCTTTCTGTTGCCTTCAACTTCCTCCCCTTCCTCCCAGTCTGTGAGCTCCGGCGGATGACAAACTTTGGTGCTTCAGATGCTGGGGAGTAACCCACATCTCACGATAGTACTCTGCGTCATGGGTGTACCAGACACCAGGCTAGACCAGTCGCACCGCCTCCTGCATTCCTGCTACAGAGGTCACGCACCACTCCTCCTGTATCTCAGACTACCTCACCATAGTCCAGCAGAGTATGACCAATCCCTTATTACTGGCAATCCCTTGATTCTACTTTATAATCTTTATCTTCAGAAAGGATGCATACCTCAGGCG